GAGGGAGAAGTCGTCCTGCGATAACTCCATGAGAATCAGTCTGACTGACATATCGTCTGAGATTCTAAATTCCATGATCACTGGACGTGTGAGTAGAGATCAGGAACAGAAATCGTGAGAAAACCAGGCAGGCTTGAGAACTAGCAGTGGGTGTATTGACCTAACTTTCACCCTCCTCGAGGTTCTGAAACACAGACACACTTACCGACACCGGACGTTAGCTGAATGGTTCAACCTGAAGGTGAGGATTAACTCGGTTGCTCGAGAGGCCTTATGATAGTGTGTCACACTGAGAGAGCAGGAGAGGAAAAGAGACACTCTCGAATGTTGTATACTCGAACATCTGTAGGCGTGTTAGACCCGATGATGCGTTATCAGGTGGGTGATTTGTGTGCATCGAGTGGTGTCCGTGAATGATATTTACTCTCCCTATTCCTATTTAATTTTGTCATAGGTGCAATGATAAATGTACCCTTCGTGTTGTGTGACTGATTCAACAGGGATTACTTGAGTCACAGAAGACTCCTTAGTAGGTAGAGTAGGTGTGGAGTATGGCGATGATTTCATCATATTAGGTGGAGACAGTGACAAGATATATATATATATATATATATATATATATATATATATATATATATATATATATATATATATATATATATAAGAACACCTTTCCAGAAAATGAATCGTGGACATAATCATATCTAACTAAATCAATGCAACGTGAACGTCAAGAAAGAACCTTAAGAAGGATTATGAGACCAACCGATGCCTATTCGTATTGCTATTGGAGGCTGTGAATTTCTCTGCAAAAAGTGCAGATGTAGACATAATGGTAGGTGACTTTAACGCTCTGGTAGGGAAGCTGAAAAAAATAGGAAAGGTATCTTAGGGTTATTTACGGAATGCTGTATCAACAAACCGACAACGGTGATCGTCTCTTGCAATTTTGTTCCCACCATCACTTGTCTCCGGCGAGCACCAACTTTAAGCAGTGAGGAGAGGCACTGTCTCACATGATGTTTACAGACTGCAAATCAATGATGCACGCAGACAGATAATATTCCTGTAAGCCATAATTGGAGAGAGTCGGTGGAGGATTGCCGCTTTTCCCGGAGTACTAGTTTGGACTTCGATTACGTGCTAGTACGGGTTCGTGTATGTCTGCACCTTACAGGTCACAGAATGCAGGCGTTAGTGATACCTGTTTGTGCTCGATTGAAAGATGAGAACATCAATTACGCGTTTAGGAAGGAGATATGCAAGCAACTACTTGAAAGTGGTAGCAATGCCCATCTTGAGGAAACCTGACTTGGTATTAAGTTTGCTGTAGAAACAGCAGTAAAGACAGTTGGTAACTTACCCTCGAAAGTTAGCAAACGTCATCATATTTCCACGCCATCATGCGAGTTGATTGATTCAAGAAGACTGATTCCAGCTAGCTCTAGCTCTCATCACAATGAAGAGCATAAGCTATATAAATGTAAAGTGACATTCTACAACGATCACGAGCTGTGATGGGTGCTGAGAGCCAGAGATATAGAAGGCATCAGCGGTGAGTAATACGTGGCTACTGTTCAGGCTTATTAAGGATTACGGGAAGAAGAAAACATTGGTGAATGAAATTGATGAAACGCTGAAAACATTGAAACACAGGTGGCTATAACGTCGTACGGAACACTCAGAAGCATGCTTCAACCGACCTTCAGCAACGCTTCCTTTGCAAATATCCGGCTTGCAGCTGAGTGAGACGAAGATTTAGGCCAACCAACAGTCCTTGAAGTTGAGAAGACTACTTTTACCCTGAAATCATTGATGCAAAGCAGTAGGAATTGACGGTTTTAAGGATGGGAAGAAGTTATAGAGTAGAGTAAAGGAGGTACTATGTAGTGTGTCAGAATCAGAGGTATTCAGACTGTTCTTCTTTTTGTGGCAACCATACGGAAATCAGTCTAACATTGCGTCCAAGATACTTGGGTTCGTATTAACCCGATGCCTGATTGGAGCTTGAGAGCAGCAAACATGAGGAAACCAGCCACATTACAGACCTATTGAGGGTGTGTCAATCAGATTATCATCCTTCACAAGGTTCAGGAATGCAAGTATGCTCACCGGTGACGAATACTTGCCATATTTCTCGATCTAAAGGTGGCATTCGACTCTGTCGACTGTGAGGTGTTGTGGCAATATATGACTGTGAAAGGAGTACCGAACAAGTATATATTCGGTAACTATTTCGTTATGATATCTTGTGTTTGAGATTACTAATCATCTTGTGCTCCATGTGTATGCTTATTGATAGTTGTTAACTCGGTCAACACAAGACTACAGGAGTCAACGGTTTAGGGCTCTTGGTTACTTGATTGGAAATTGGTTACAATGGTGCAGACGTATTCACTCCTTGACATCTTCTTAAGCATGAATATTTGTACTAACCGTTATCTTCAGATAGTTGGTTCTGTTACTAGACTTCGTCCACTTAATATCACTCTTTTTTCATCCACTTGTCCTTTGTGTACTACTGTGATGTGTGGCAACTTAAATTGATGCTCCTGTGTCCCAGGTTCCACGTTGATTTTGTCAGTGTTACTCAAACGTAACTTCATGTTGAAAACACCACAGTTGTTTACATAACTGTACTTGTAATGAGGTTTTTCTGTTACATGCTAAGTTATTTATTCAAATGTTCTGCTTAGTTAATATATTTTGCGCTTACTGGTTGCATAGAGTGCTTCGAACTCGACTGTGCCTTGCAAAAAGCGAATGTCAAATACTGAATTTCGTAGTGCGCAAAGTTTGCCTAGTGCAGCTGACTTTTTGTAGTCCGACGTATGCCTCACCTTTCACAATTTGTACATTCTCATCTGACAGGTATCGAAATAGGACTTGAGACTACTGTGTATCATATCGCCACAAACCAGGGTTATATACCATATACTAAATATGAACCTCTTTCTCTTATTATTATTCTGATAGTAGTATAAAGTGCGGTGCGGTTTGATAAAGATCAGTAGTTATGCGATTTCTTGGTATATTATGTTCCATATTCTTGAAATAACGTTTTCTATGGTTTATACGTAGGGTTAAAAGAACTGGTTCGTGTATTGACTTTCTATCTTGTATCTGATTTTTAAAAATGCTTTGTTATTACAACTAATTTCATGTATTTCCTTTCAACAGATGAAGTTTACCTTACAAATCCAAATGAAATAGTCCCAGCGCAGTTTGTATTGGACCAGTTATGTAAGCAAACAGAACTACGTATTACTAAGGCACAAATTTCAAATTTGTGGACAAAGCATTACTTGCACTCGAAGTTGTATGCTGATAGAGACCATACAACAGGTGGTAAAGAAACTGTTTCTTGTAAAGCGACATTTTTCACCGGTGAAAGTCTTACCTTACTTGCTCGACATCCAGATCCTAGATGGGCTTCTATGAATATAATGGGTAGGTGAATGTTGATACTTTGAATATTCCTATTTTAAGTGGACAGTAAATTTTTCTTAGTTTTTCCTAACATATACCCATTTCAAAGATTCAAGTTCAACTTCGTCTACTTGTAAAAAAACTTCACACTTAATACATCTCTTTCTGTTGTGACTAGTAACACACGGTTTTCAACATTTACATAAAAGTAACACTCGTCGATGCGTCTCGCTTATTTTCCGCAAAAAACTGACGTTTTCTAGGATGTGTATAAAATCTTCATGAGCGGCTGCTCTGATTTTAGCTGAAGTCTAACGACGGCAGTTAGATTGACAAAACTCTTCTTCAAATTCAGACAGCTGAAAGATTATCAGAACTAATAGGTGATTAGTAAATAATAAGTGTAGTGGGTACTACTGATAAGAATAAATATGAGTAGTATTTAGTGAGAGGTGGGGAGAAGTCATAATCAATTAAGAGCGATGGGTAAATAGTCTGCACAGAGCAACGTAAAAGACAACATGGTCGCATGAAGAGCAAACGAGGTAGTAGAAGATGAAGAAACGAAATACATTGTACAAATGAATATTTCAAAGGGAAGGTTACCACACTTCATCAGTAATGTACAAAGTATCATAATAAACATTCTTCTGCGTTTCATCCTTTACCGTCTTCTTACAAATATACTTCAAGTCTTAGAATGAAAATCAAAAGGTATTAGTTAATACTTCATACTAAATTATTCATTAGAACGAAGAATATTTTAGGGTGATAAAAAGAATTAAAAGAGGAGTTTGATAGTAATAACAAAGAATTGTTTGAACGAACATGTGTGAGGATCAAGAAATTCCAAAACGAATTTTACTTCTTTTTTTCAGATAGTAAAGTCCAAGGTTGATGTTTTGGCTAGATAACACTGATTTCCTCTTGTAACAGCAACTAACAAACAATGAACTACGTAGGATATACTGTTCAACTCATTCGTGGAGCTCTAGCTCATTGGTTTAAAGAGATGACTTTCAACCAATGGGTTACTGGCCCGAACCCCGTCTTACCTACCGATAGTCAGGTAGTAGTATTGTAAGAAAGGACAAAAACTGAGACACAGGAAGGAAATGTTTATGACGACATTTTGTAGAACACTGATGAAATATTGTACACTTTGCATTAAAATAGTCGTTTGCACGTGTTTCATTTTCGCTTCTTCCATCTCCATTTGCTTTTCGTACACCCTCATTGTCTCTCGCATTTCTCTAGGCAGAATATTTACCTATCGTTGGTAATTGCTTATGACTTCTGCCGGCCTCTCAATATATACTACTAATATCCATTCTTATCAGTAGCATCCACTACAGTATCACTAGCCCTCAAACAATAGGTGCGGCTTATTTCAACCACTACTGACCCTTCTATGAATTTATATCTTTTTAAAGACATAGTTAGGCTGTTATGTGCATCACAACCGAAAGTAGTAGGTTAGTGTAAATAATGGTAAAAACGAGTAACGTGTTTTGTTGCGAAAACACCTGAAATTCTAAATATCGAGAAGTAAAAGTCTTCAGTACAAAAACTAGTCTTGTAATTAACTAGGAAAGATGTATTAAAAATGGTTTTCTTTACTCAATGATTTGCTTAACCCATTTAAATATTCCCAATCTAAACTGGCATTATTTTCAACTGTATTTCACATTCATACATGTGATTAGATCAAGGAAACACCAATTAAAAGGTATCCACTTGTATTTGTGCAAGAATTTTCAAGATATGCCTATTGTAGCTGAAGTGTGATCGTAGTTATGGCATACAAAGTTTATGTAGTTTCAGTTTTCAACTAGTAAAATTACAGAAGCTTTCAACGTCAAGTTCTTCCAAACGTAATTACATATAAACAGCATGATCAACCTCATCTTGTATCTGAGTTTTAGTTGGCATTATTATTATAATTATCATTATTATTATTATTATTATTATTATTATTATTATTATTATTATCAGTAGTAGTAGTAGTACTAGTACCAGTATTGGTGAAGAAACAGAAGATAACTCGATGAGATAATGTATATTAGGAAGAATTGGAATGGTAGTGGTTACATATGCTACTCCTTGCACTAACGCAGCCATCTGCAAATGTCTTCGTTTCCTCCCCGTTCCTGTCTTGATTTGCTCTTGACCGGCTCTTCATACACTCTTATTGTAGTGGGCGTTGCTGATAACAACGGACATAAGTAGTATATATCGAGAGGGTGGCAGGAATCATAGGGAATTACCGGCAATGGGTAAGGTTTCTGCCAAGAGCGACGCAGGGGACAACACAGGCGTATTACAGGGGATGCTGCTGATAAGAGTGTATGAAGAGCCGGTCAAGAGCGAATCAAGACAGGAACGGAGAGGAAACGAAGACGTTTGCAAATGGCTGCGTTGGTGCAAGGAGTACCATATGTACCATATGTAACCACTACCATTCCAATTCTTCCTAATATACATTATCTTGTCGAGTTGTCTTCTGTTCCTTCATTATCAGCAGCATCCTCTGTAATACGCCTGTGTTGTCCCCTGCGTTGCTCTTGGCAGAAACCTTACCCATTGCCGGTAATTCCCTATGATTCCTGCCACCCTCTCGATATATACTACTTATATCCGTTGTTATCAGCAACGCCCACTACACTCGTCCCCCCCTCAAAATTCCGGGCTTGCAACCGTGTTGATCGTCTTGGTGCTGTCTTCTCTTGGTTTTCACTCGCTGTTTCGTCTTTTTTCCACTGCTTCCATTTTTGAAGTAGGCTGGCGTTTACTCTTTTCTCTTTGTTCCCTTGTTTGATGGTATAAATTGAACCGCGTCTCTCGGTAATGATGTATGGTCCTTCCCACTTCGGAAGTAGTTTCCTTCTGCCATACTCACCTCCTGACGTATATCCTCGTTCTTTACATTTCACCTGATCTCCAACCTCAAATGGTTTCCATTTACTTCCTTCTCTCTGCTCAGATTTTTCAGCATCAGCCTTCTGCTTTCGTTCCACATTCCTGATAGCCTGTTTCCGCTCCTCTCTCAATCTTGTCATGTTCCAAGGCTGTTGTTGGGGCCAGGTCTTACTATGTATCGGGAGCCGTGGTTTCCTGCCATACATTAACTGGAACGCCGACTTCTTGGTTGTTCCTTGTACCGAGGCACGATGAGCTAATAATACTAACGGCAGTTCCGTCTCCCAATTTCCTCCTTTCGAAGCTAGCCACTCCTTCAGTGTACGGTTATTCCGTTCTGTCAAACCGTTAGTCTGTGGGTGGTACGGCGTCGTTCTTATCCTCTTGATATCAAGCTGCTCCAAACAGGATTTAAATTCTTCACTCTCAAAACAAGGACCTTGGTCGGTCAGTATCATCTTCGGCACACCGTGATCCGCGATAATATGCCGCATCACCGCTGCGGTCACTGTCTTCGCGCGTTGATCAGGAATCGCGACAGCGTCTACCCATCGTGTAGCATGCTCCGTCATCACCAACAGGTATTGGTTGCCACTAGACGTCTGCGGAAATGGTCCCATTACGTCCACCGACCACAGGTCACCAACCGCTGCTACTGGAATCGACTGCAGTGGCGGCCGTACATACCGATCACCTTTCATCAGTTGACAATGAGGACACCCCAGCACGTATTTGGCAACATCCTCTCTCATACCTGGCCAGTATGCACTTTGTCTGAGAAGGTCAGCTGTCCGTGAGACACCTGTATGAGCTAACTGGTGGCATTCTTGTATCATTTTGTCGCGTAGACATTTCGGAATCACTGCCAACCAGCTTCCGTCATTTTCTCGCCACGTTAGCATTCCATAAGTATTCATCCGTAGGCGTTCTTTCTGCGTCAACAACGTTCTCAACTCTTTATCTCCCACAGACGTTTGTGTCTCTGTCCCTTCAGTTATGGCTTTGATCACTTCTTTCAGTGTCGGGTCCGACTTCTGAAGGCGAATAAGTCTTAACGGGTTCCATTCCACTGCATGTACGCCGTATGCGATCTCAGGTAGCTCATTTTCTTCGTCAGATCTTGATAAGAAGTCTGCCAACCAGTTTTCTTTCCCTGCCACATGGCCGATGGTGAAGTCATATTCTTGCAGTCGTAACACCCAACGTGATAATTTTCCTCTGGGGTCTCTCGCTGTCTTAAGCCACTGTAGAGGTTTATGATCCGTTTCAATATGGAATCGTTGACCGAGGAGGTACGATCTCCACTTCTCCAGCGCCCAAACTATCGCTAGACATTCCTTTTCCATTGTAGAATATTTCTGTTCTGCGGGTGTTAGAACGCGGCTGGCATACTCCACTACTCCTTCAGTCTGTCTCAGGACTGCCCCTATTCCATAATCACTTGCATCGGTGGACACGATAAATGGCCTACCAGGTATTGGTAGTTTTAACGTCATCTCCTGGTCATTTAGGAGTTCTTTGATGTGATCAAATGTTTTTTGTGCCTCCTCCGTCCACACAAATTTGGGGTTGCCCAGTAGCTTATATAACGGTGCTGCTATCTCATTGAAATTTTTGAGGAACCGACTGTAGAATGCTGCTCTACCCAAGAATTGTCGCAGTTTCCTCTTGGAATTCGGCACTGGAATAGTTCTGACTGTCAGAATTTTCTCGGGTAGTGGTTTTATTTCGCCGTTTCCAACTTTGTGTCCCAGCAACGTAACACTCCTCTTGGCTACTTGAGATTTTGTCTTATTGATGCGGAGTCCAAACTCATCGATACGTCTCAAAACAGCTTCAAGGTATTCTATGTGTTCTGCCTCCGTCTGGCTGTACACCACCAGGTCATCGCCGTACACCTCTACGTTCTCTAAATTCTTCAGCAACAACATCATCAATCGTCTAAATGTAAAGGGCGCCCCTGCCAGACCAAATGGCATTCGCTTGAATTGGTATTGCTTCTTGCCCACAATAAATGCTGTTTTCTCTTTATCACTGTCTTTTATTGGTAGCTGCCAGTAGCCCGAGCGGAGGTCCAGAACTGTAAATACTTTCGCATTCTG